CTTCCTCTCTCCTCAGCTCTCTTCCTGTCCTCTTCCTCTCTCCTCAGCTCTCTTCCTGTCCTCTTCCTCCCTCCTCAGCTCTCTTCCTGTCCACTTCCTCCTTCTTCAGCCCTCTTCTTGTCCTCTTCCTCCTTCCTCAGCTCTCTTCCTGTCCTCTTCCTCCTTCTTCAGCTCTCTTCCTGTCCTCTTCCTCCCTCCTCAGCTCTCTTCCTCCTTCTTCAGCCCTCATCTTGTCTTCTTCTTCCTTCCTCAGCTCTCTTCTTGTCCTCTTCCTCCTGTGATCTATTTTACCTTCCTTCTCTTACTTGTTTTGTTTCTCCTCCCCTTCCACTTTCTCATCTCCCTATATCATTTTATATCTCACTATACCTCCTTTCTCTCCTGCTCTTCTCTTGTCTTCTTTTAATCTTCCTCTCATTCCCTATTCTACTACTCTTTCTCATCCTAGTCACTCTCCTCCACTTCCAGATATTTCCTCTCCCCTTTCCTCTAGCTTCCATCTCCTTTCTAGCTCATTCCCCTATTCCTAATCTTTCCTTCTGTACAACCCCTTCCTCATCCTCTCTACTTCTATTTCTCTCTTCCTCCTTGCCGTCATCTGCAAGCTCCACTTCTTCCTTCCTATCCTATGTCTCTTGTTCTTCCTTCTACATTCATTACTTTCTCATCCTTCTACTAGTACTAGTCTCTACTTTTCTTCCTCCTCTTCCTTATTCCTTTCCTTCCACTCCCTCTTCCTCCATGTCCTCCTCTCCTTTTTATTTCCCTTGTGCTCTGGCCTCACTTCATCTCCCACTCCTTGACTTCTCTTTAACATTCTCCCTTCTATCTTCTTCTCTACTCCTGCACAACCTCATCCCTTAATATTTTCACTTCCTGCCTGCTGGCCTGCAATTGGTGGGGGTTTGGGGGCATGAGTTTTGCCCCTAGGCCTAAATCCTAGAGGCTGAGGTGATCGGCTAGGAGAATAGACTCACCTCTTGGTCCGATCAGAGTAGGTAGAATTTGTGTCTCATGGAGCAGCTGTGGTCTCAGAGGATGGGTGTGTTTGGGGGATGGAGTGGGGCTTGTAGGTTACAGGGTCTGGTGGTGGTGGTGGTGGTGGTAGTCAGACTTCCCTGTAGAAGTCCTGCCTGCTGGCCTGCAGTTGATGCTGCAATGGGTGGGAGTATGGGAGCATGGATTGTGCCCCTGGGCCTAAAGCCTAGAGGCTAGGGTGATTGGCTAGGAGAATAAAGAATTACTTCTTGGTCCAAATGGAGCTGGCAGAGTCTGTGTTTCAGGGAGCCGCTGTGGTCTCAGAGGATGGGTGAGTTTGGAGGGTGGAGTGGGGCTTGTAGGTTACAGGGTCTGGTAGGGGATGGTGGTAGTCAAGTCTGCCTGTAGGAGTCCTGCTTGCTGGCCTGCAACTGGGGCTGCAATTGGTAGGGGTTGAAAGATTACAATTTTATATGTTTATTTTTATAACTTGCTTCTTTGCTGAAAATGCTTATTTGTTTCAAGAGATTCCTAGTATAGTTTATGAAACCTCTTTAGTGAGGCATGAAATGTTTTTGCAAATTTCCACAGGTAATTCTGAGTTCATGTTTCTGTTTGTAAAAACCAAGCTTTTGAGGTAAAATCTATCTCAATCATTGCGTGTCTTTGCTGATAGAGTACTTCTGCATGATTGTGTTTTTTTTTTACTAGTTGTCACATTAACTTTACACAAGATAGAGTCATCTGATAGGAGGCAACCTTAATTGAGAAAATGCCTCCATAAAGTTGAGCTATAGGCAGGCAAATGAACAGGGCATATTTGTAATTTTTGATTTATGGGAGAGGGCCAAACCCACTGCAGATGCAGGCATGCCTGGGCTGGTGGCTCTGGGTTTTATAAGAAAGCCTACTGAGCAAGCCAGTAAGAAGTTCTCTTCCATGGTCTCTGCATCAGCTTCTGCTTCCAGGTTCCTGCCTTGAGTTCCTGCCTCAATTTCCTTCAATGATGGAATATGATATGGAATTGTAAGTGTAACATTCCTCCTAAATTGTTTTTGGTCCTAGTGTCTCATCCCAGCAATGGAAACCCTAAGTAAGACACGGATGTTCCACATTTCACCATAACACACACACACACACACACACACACACACACACACACACACACACACACACACTTACACACACACACACACACCCCAAAAACCAAATGGCTAGGTGCGTGAAACCATGATAATCAGGGAGTATTTATCTGACTCTGAAATGATTGAGTTAGGATAGATTTTTGTTTTTGCTTTTTGTTGCTTCCCTCCAAATTCCCCCCCTTTTTTGTGGAAATTGCTGAGGCTAGCACATCCCAAGTTCAATGGATATGCTTTGCCATGGGAAGAACACCTTCATCATGGTATCTCTCCTGCCAGCTAAGTATGAAGGGGAAAGGACTTAAAGCAGGAAATGAAATGCTCTCTTACATCCTGGCTGGTGAGGCTGTGAAACACAGGGACTAGACGGAATCAATTTGGATGTGATGACAACATGACATCTCCAAAATTACTGTTTCCACAATAATGCCCTCTACTGATAATAAAATAGATGAAATCTCAGACAAAGAATTCAAAAGAATGCTTATAAATATGTCTAAAGAACTCAAAGGACACAAATAACTTCTGAGTGTATTCCAAGGTACACAAAAGGAAGCTAATAGAGGATATGAAAATGTAATTCAATAAAGAGAAATACTGAATAATAACCAAACCAACCACAAAGCTCCTTGGAAAGCTTCAGCTGAAGAATGAGTCAGGGAGATCACTGTATCAGGGCCTGAGGACAGGGGAGGAAGTGAGACTTGCAGACCATGATGACGATAAGTAGGTAGGATGATAAACAGAACACTTGGGTTCCATGGGATGGGAAAGCAGAAAGTTTGAGGTCTATAAGTTGGTACAAACAGGACATTTGAGGTCTGTGTGATGATATGACACCCATTGTCTTGGTTAGGCTTTTGTTAACTCTGCACATGTGAGAGTTATTGAGGAAGAGAAACCTCAATTGAGATTTCCTTAGGCAAGTCTGTGGGGATATTTTCTTGATTAATGATTGATGTGGAAGGGACCAGCTCACTATGGGCATTGCCACCCCTTGGCTGGTAGTCCTGGATGCTGTAATAACGCTCATTGGGTAAGCTAGTAAGCAGCATTCCTCCATGGTCTCTGCTTCAGTTCCTGCCTCTAGGTTCCTTTTTTGAGTTCCTTTGCCCCCGCTTCTTTCAATGATGGACTGTGAGCTGTAAGATGAAATAAATCCTTTTCTCCCCAAGTTGCTGTGATCATTGTCTTAGTTAGGGTAACTCTAGCTATGATGAAACATTGTGCCCAAAAGCAGGTTGTGGAGGGAAGGGTTTATTTGGCTTACACTTCCATATCATAGTCCATCATTAAAGGAAGTCAGGCCAGGAACATGGAAGATCCTCCTCTCAGATGACTTTAGCTTGAGTCAGGTTGAGATAAATTAGTCGACTCAATTGACCCCTTGTCTTGACACACAAACACATCAGTTTAAAGTTATAACTTTTTCTTTCTTATTCATCTCCAAGATCTCACATTAACATTAATGTCACAATATAAAATATTCCAAGTTTTCAGAATGCCTTGGCTCTTTAAAACTTCAAATAAAGTATCATTAAAATATCCCAATTTTCTTTTAGAATCCAAATTCTTTGTAAAACTCCAGGATCTCTTTAAAATTTTAGTCTCAACTGTGGGCTCCTGTAAAATAAAAAAAAAAATATTACTCTTTTACTTTAAGAGAGAAGAACTAGGGCACAGTCACAACCAGGCCAAAGCCAACCAAACTAACTATGTAAATACCACAATGTCCAATGTCTGGGATCTAATGATGGTCTTTTGGGGTTCTCTTAAAAGGCTTGTGTCACTTCTCTGGCTCTGCCATCTGCATCATACATAGCTTCTAAGCTCAGGCTAGCTCTACTGAACCACTGCTGCTGTTTTTGGTGGTGGTATCATGGTACTGGTATCTAAAATACTGGCATCTTCTGCTGCAAGTGGGCTGTGCTTTCTCCAATAGCTTCTCCTGGGCTCTCTTCATGGTACACGGCCTCAACTTTTCTCTATGACCCCTTCATGCCTTTAAAACCAGTATCTCCCAGGAGATTCTTACACTAACAAGTTTGGATGCCAGCATGAGGTTCAACCTTGTTAGCCTCTGGAACACAGCTTCTGTGTGCTGACTCTGAGGAAACACTTACCCAGAGATTTCACCTCAATGGTGCAATAACTGATAATTTCTCAGCTCCGGCATCAATTGTTCCAGTAAAGCAAAAGTTTTACATTAGTGGTTCTGGTCTCTTGTTAATCATAGCTGATTCTTCAGTTCCAGCTGACCAGACATCACAGATTCTTCATACAAAGGAGCTGGAAAAGTCTTTATTTCCCTCTGAAACTTCACAAGCCAGGACTCCATTGTTTGTACTGCTCTCAACATTCTTATTTTCCAAGTTCCCATAGAACAGCCAACTGAGCCCTCAATATTTAAAGGCTTTTCTAGCCCAGAGTTCCAGAGTCATTCTACATTCCTTCCCAAACCAACAAGGTCATATCTGTCACAGCAATACCCGCATGATCTTGGTACCCGTTTCTTTCTTAGTTATGGTTATGATTGTGATGCTGAACCATGACTAAAAGCAGGTCAGAGTGGAAAGGTATTATTTGGCTCACACTTCCACATCATAGTCCATCATTGAAGGAATCAGGGAAGGAACTTGGAAGCAGGAGCTGAAACGGAGGCTGCAGAGGAGTGCTACTTACTGGCTTGCTCCTCACATATTGCTGCTCAGTCTGCTCTCTAGTAAATTGCAGGACCACCAGCCCAGGCATAGCCCTATCCACAGTGGACTGGGCACTCCTCCATCCATCACGAGTGAAGAACATGCCCTACAGCTTGCCTACAGGCTGATCTTATGGAGGCGTTTTCTTTCTTTTGCTTTCTTGGAATCAATGTTTTAATTGATTTTTAATATTTTGAAGACATAAATGAATCCAGCACATTCATTGACAATATGCCAAAAGGAAGGATGTTTGAATAACTAAACGTGGAGGCATTTTCTTAATTGAGATTCCCTCATCTCAGATGTCTTTAGCTTGTGTCAAGTTGACATAAAACTAGCCAGTCATGGTCTTTATCACACCAATAGAAACCATACTAAGACCCCAACTCTATAAATCATGAGCATGGAAAAGAGGTGAGAATTCTGTTCTAAATGCATTTTCAATAAACTCATAACAAACTGTCTCAAATCTTGGGGAAGATATTCCAGTTTATGCACAGGAGGTGTTTATTACTATGAATATCAAAGAGATAAATGCAATGAAAGGTCTCCCCAGGTAACCATATATTCAAAATACTAACTATATGAAACAAATGTGATATTGAATACTATTTCATACTCTGAAAGACAGCTTGTGACATATTGAACTGTAGCTAGCAAGACTCTGCCGTAACTGAAGTAGAAAGAAAACCTTTCCATTATAGAAAGTGGCAAAAGTCATTCATTGTCACTAAACTAACAGCATAGAAGATACTAGAAGGCTAAAAACTGTGCCATACTTATGATGGCAAGAATTAATATTGTGAAAATGGCTATCAAGTCAGTCTGTAAGTTGAACAGTAATCTCTACCAAAATCCAAATACCAGCCTTCCCAGGTGTAGGAAAAAACTCTGAACAGTCACGTATGGATCCGCAAAGTCCCCCAGATAACTTAATTAATACTGGGCAAGAACATTAATGCTGGTGATATCGCCAGTCCTGACATAAAGTGATATTACAGAGCAACAGTAACAAAATCAGCATAGCACTGGCACAAAAACAGACACATCCATTAATGGTATATAGAGGACTGAGATATAAACCCACACAGCTACTGAGAACTGTTTTTTGACAAAAATACCAAGCATAGGCTTTGCAGAAAAAACAGAATCACAGTTTTTGCTAGGAAAAGTGTATGCTCACTTGTAGGAGAATAAAACTAGATTCCTATCTCTTACTCTGTATTACACTCAAGTCCAAATGCTCCTAAGAATTTAATGCAATGCTTGAAACTGTTAGAGGAAAAAGTAAACACTTTTAATACAGAACCAAACAATGACTGATAATAACCTCTTCCATTCAGGAGGTGATGCCTACTATTGACAAGTGGAACCTCATAAACTCAAAAAGCTTCTGCCAAGCGAGAGAAACAGTGAGGAAGCAGCCCATAGAATGGAAGAAAGTCTTTAGGTCTTTACATCTGATAGAGGATTACTATCTGGAGTGCAAAGAACTAAAAAGTTAACAGAAAACATCCTAGTTAATAACTCATGAATTAAAAGATAGTTCACAAAAGATGGAATTCACCTGGCCAACACACACACACACACACACACACACACACACACACACACACACACACACTCAAATGTTCATTGTCAGAGAAGTCTAAATTAAGATTACATTGAGATTAATTTCACTTGAATTAGAATGACACTAATTAAGTCAAGAAATGACAAACGGTGTCAAGAACACAAACTGAAGAAAAACATATGTCACTGGTGAGGATATAAGCTATTACATCAGGTACAGGGGTTGTAACAGGCCCCCAGACATCAGCACAATGGACACTATGTTGGAGGCATCATTCTGACCTCAGAACCCAGCATGTAGGCCCCAACACCTGCAGAAATGGGAACAAAGACCTAATACATAAAAGACAAAGTCAATAGCTCCAGGATCCAGGAAAGCCCATAAATGTACTAGCCTTGCCTTTTTTTTGGCTTCTATAGTTCTGCTTCTTGCTAACTGTTCTTGCTCACTAAAGCATGTCAACACAGGATATAGTTTTTGTGCTTGAAAGACCAGAGGCAGTGAGGCTCAGGGCTGCATGATTTGTGCAGGTTTCCCATGCAGCTGCTGGACAGAAATACAGACTTTCTATTCAGACATAAGAGTGTCCATGTGTGCTCTTTTCTAGAATCACCACACAATAGAATCACAATGGAGGTTCTTAAAAAAAAACGAATCTTCCACATGACCCAGTTATACTATTTCTGGGTATTTACAAGAAGGATTTCAACTCATTATATTCGGGACATATCTGCACATCAATATTGATTACAGCAGAATTATACTAGTCAGGGTTCTGTAGAATGATAGACTCATTCAATCTATCCATCTCTCTATATATAGAAAGGGGATTTATTAGAGTGGCTTACAGGCTATGGTCTACTTAGTCCAACAATGAATATCTACCAACTGAAAGTCCAAGGGTGGAGTAGTGGTGCAGTCTATGAAGCTGGGTATCTCAGCTGGTCTTCAGCATACTCTGGAATCCCAAAGAAGAAGTAAGATCTAATGCCAGTGAAGGAAGGACATGCTAGCAAAAGCAAGGGCAAGCAAGCAAAGAGCAAAGAGCTTCCTTCTTCCATGTCCTTCATATAGGCTGCCACCAGAAGGTGTGGCCCAAACTAAAGGCAGATCTTCCCATCTCAAAAGATCTGGATTAAAGTTGGATATTTCTACGTCAAGTGATTTAATAATTTTGTTAATGAGAAAAATCCCTCACAGGTGTACCCAGTCAACTAATTCCACATGTATTCAGGTTGACACCAAAAATAGCCTTTGCAACAGTCCACAGCAGCAACATTAGGGAAATAGCCTGAGTGTCAACAACAGAGAAAAGTATAAAGAAAATGTGATGTATTAACACGTTGGGAAATTATTAATTCATAAAAAGAATGAAATTATGCTTTGTGAAGGAAAAAAATCTGTGGAGATTATCATGTAAATTAACCAGGCTCAGTAAACTGTCCATGTTTTCTTTCATATGTGGTTCCTAGATTATATTTACATAAATGAAATCCTATGTATGTGTTTCATGAAATTAGAGGCATAGCTCTGTAGCAGAAAAATGATGTCTAAGTGCTGTGGGGAGAGGTGAGAAATGGTCAGACTGTGGTCAAAGAGGAAGTGTGCTCAATACTCAGTATGTGCTTCAAGGCATACCATGTCCTGTGAATGAAAAACCAGAGCATTTAATTGATTTAATACTTAAAAAGTATTTTGTGAGTTTTATTTCATATAGAATATGATATTGTACTTGGAAAATGTAAAAATTCAATTATCAAAGTTAAGATAAATATTGAAAGACAACTTACTCACAGATGAAATAACAGACTTAAGACTTTTTAGGGAGTTTTACTAAGTACTCAAATATATGTGAATATAGACATTTTGTATATCCATCTATATCTACATAGTCATCTGTATTACTACATTTGGACCTATGTATCTATACATTTCATTTAAGTTGTTAAATTCCTTGTACACATGTGTATTGGTATTTATATCTCTTCTTATCCACATTGAAAAGCACTCTGCTCTAAAATCCTGGCCTGCTCTTACATTGCATAGCCATAATATCGAGAAATTTCCATATCCTTCTCCCTCTGGAGGAAAAGCTGCAGTTTTCCCAGAGAGGTGTACTTGGCAGCATTCTCTCTCTCCCGTTGAGCCTGCCTCTTCATGGCCTCCCTCTCTGGCCTCTGCTCTTCTGTGATGGGCTGTGAGATGACTGGCCCTGGAATGTGGACTTTCCTCCATGGAATTGGTTGGTGGCTGAAGTCTTGCAGTAGATATTGGATTTGAGGTTTTGGGGTTGATGGGGCCTTGTTCTTGTCAGCAGATGCAAGCTCCCTCTGTAGTGAAGGGTGAGATGATGCCCTGTAGGATTCTGGCCTACAGACAGCTGGCTGAGGCCCAGGGCAAGACTGGATGGGGTTGGTTATGTTAGGTCGTGTGGCACTGGTAGCAATAGGCAGAACTGGCTTGTCAGAGGCCATCAAAGAAGTGCTGGCAGGAGCTGGTTTAGATGGCTTGAGTGTGGTAGGCTGAGCCGAGTGGGAATGAGGCCTCACAGGGCATACTGCAGGGGCCCTGCGAGAAGCCAGGGGGAGAGGCTTCCTAGAAACAGGTCTTGCTTGTTGCATGTCCACGGCTGGGAAAGGCAGAGGTACTAACTTGACCTTCCCAGGTGGGGGCAGCTCATACTGGGATGGAGATGGACACTCCCTGTGAGCATTGCTCTCTGGTCTCTGAGTATTGCTTGGGGATTTACCAGGGCCTCCGCCATCACATGGCACATCCAGAAGGGATGTGGTGACTGGGCCTGTCCTGGGATCTTTGTTGCTACTGAGGTTTAGCTGAGCCTGGGAGGAGGAGATGCCAGTTTTCTTCTCACTCTTCTTCCCCAGTGGGTGAAAGACTTGCACGGATTCTAGCATGTGCATGCCGAGGTGAGTTCGAGGCTTTTTAAAGCTGTCATGGCTGAGCTCGGGTGGATTCCTCTTCCTCTGGTTCTTTGGCTTGGTGGTGTTTTCTTCCTCCTTGACTCTGTTCCTTGACTGCTTCAGCTCCTCTGTTTTCTTGGAGTTGTTTACTCTGGTTCTCTTGGTCTTGTCTTGCCCCTGAGCCCTAGCTCTGCTGGGCATGCTAGGTGTGGCAATCTGGGCCTTGCCCTCCAAGTGTTTAGGCATGTTGTCAATAGCCCCTTCACTGGACCCAGCACTGCCCACCGCCTCTTCGCCCTTCACCCAGTCCTGGAGCTGGATTCTGGCCTGAGGAGACACATCAAGCATCTCAGAGGATTTCTGGACATTCTTTCTCACTTGGTCCACAGGTACACTGATGATGCTGGAGCTTTCCTGGGCCTGATCCCTCCTGGTGTCTTTGGATTGGGTTGCTGTGGGATCTTGGAATGGGTTCATTTCAGTGATTGAGTGGAAGAGTCGGGGAAGGTGAATATCTGCCACCAGTGTAGTCATGTCTGCAAAGTCCATGCTGGAGTCCATCACACTCTGCAGCACCCCAGGCTCATCCTGACCAAGGCTGCTGCTTCCCAAGGTGGCATTGTCAGGAGAAAGCTTCTGTTTCAGGCTCCCAGAATCAGTGTAGTCCAGGGCCTGCCGCATGTTGGCATGTGCTAAAGGGAGAAGTGATGGGTCTTGGTTTTCTTTTATGCCCTCATAGGCATCCAGAGGAGTTGATAGATCAGCTGTCATCAAATCCAAGTCGTTATTCTCTGTTTGTTCCAAGCTCGGAGCAAGAGGCAAGGGCAGGTATTCCAAAAAACTGTGCATGGGAGCAGTTAATGACCAGTCCCCATGGACAGGTGGTGTCTTCTGGACATCCTGGGTGCAAGCACTGCAGAGGTCTGGATTCTGCAGCAGACAGAGTGTCTGGCCTGAAGCTGTCAATCCCAGGGATGTCTCCGTTTTCACCACTGAAAAAGAGTCAAGGAAGAAGTCAGTGCCTGGTAAGTGAGGCGCTCCCCACTTTTCAGTGCACCTCAGTACTCAGACCCCTACAGCAGTGGGGAAGGCATTCTTATGAGCTCTGCTTGAGCAGCACAGGCGGCCCGGCACCTCTGTTGGGAGACTTGTGACCACTGTCTTATTTCTGGTAACCATGTGATACCATGTTTTCTCAGATGTTTGTGTTTTCCTCGGTGTTTGTGTGTTGTGTGCATGCATAGTGATCATGGGGAGGTGACAGAATTCCCTTGGGGTGTGGTCCTCCCTTTCCTTTCCCATGTCTCTGGAAGAGTGACCCTCATTTCTGTGGAAGTTTGCTATCAGGCAGGTTGTCTGGTCCATAATTTTCAAGAACTTACCTGTGTCTGCCAACTTCTTGCCATTACTCAAATGCCCCCAGTAGCCTGGCTTTTTAAGTGGGTTCAGGTATCCAAACCCACTTCTTCACTCCTGCAAGGCAATCCTTTCAACAACCCTGGATTTCGTCCAGCTCCACATTTCACAGCCTTGTTATTAATGACATGAAAATTGGTTCAAGAAGGTGAAATCTTTAGTCTTGGGTGTGACTGTGTAGTAGAGAACATATCCTAGTGATCATGCATAGCCTTGGCTCACCTCTGAATAACCATAGCAAAGAAAAGAGAGAGAGAGAGAGAGAGAGAGAGAGAGAGAGAGAGAGAGAGAGAGAGAAGAGAGAAGAGAGAGAGAGAAGAGAGAGAAGCTTTGCCCAACTTAGCAGTTGTACACTGGTACACCGGGTATACTGGACTCTCAATGCACTTATGCTTGTAAGAGAGCGGCAGGGCCAGCACTTGGAATCTGCGAGTAATACTTCCTCTAGGACAGGTTTGGAGTTGCACTGCACTAGAGTCAGAATTCAACCCAGAGAAAATAAAGTGTTCCGAAACAGAAAGGCCTTGGTGTCCTCTACAGCCTTGAGCAATTCATTACGAGGGAAGTGATTGCAGTGCATGGAACTGATTTGCTACATCAGTGACATGCGTGTTTGTGATGTGCTCCATGGACATGTCTTAATGGAGGATGGATGCCACTCATTGTCCTGCATTGTCAGTCATTATAGAGACTGAAGATGGGGATGGTGAGCCAGGCTCTCAGGACTCCCATCCTTTCTCCCTGAGGACATCCACTGCTGAAAGGTTGAACTGTGTCTGCTTTGAGTGCTGATCTCACTCCTCCCCTCCTGGCTTTACTCACCTTGAAGACTGGTGTCTGGCATGTCTTGAGCAGGTGTGGGATAGTAGATGGCAGAGTTGGAGAAAGGTGTTTGGACATTTGTTGGCTGAATCTCCTTTGGCATCATCATCATCTCTGGTTGCAGGGCAGAGCCCTGACCCCCAGAGTAGGACACAGAGCCACAGGCCTGCAGGCACTGCCCAAGTTCTCCAGCCATCAGAGGGCCCAGGATATTGAGGTCATAGTAGTAGACCTGGCTGCCCTCCTGGTAGGAAGGTGCCAGGCTGTATCCTTGATTAGGCACCTGTGGTGGTGTGGCCTGAACAATCCTGGCAGACAGTGTTGGATAGGAAACGACTAAGGCATTGGGATCTAAAATATTGTCACCCTGGGCTGTCATAGACAAGGAGGAGAATGTGGTATTCTGGTCAATGACAGTTACAGTGAAGTCCTGGAGTGTAGCTCCCCTCCTGTCAGTGCTTCCCGTGGGATCCCACTGGAGAACACCTGGATAGGAGAGTGGTGAGGCAGAGCTCTGGCCCTGGTCAGTCAGCACAGTCACCATGGTTGTGCCAGCTGGTAAGTAGGGGTAGGCACTGTCCATGAGCTGCTGGCAACAAGTGCTGGAGTCTGATGGCAGGAGCCATGCTGAGCTCACAGCTGGGGTGGAGACCCTGGAGAAGTTGCACACACTTCCTGCTAAGGGCGTGGCATTCCTCAGCACAGGGGCAGAGGGCTGCAGAGCACATTCTGTCCCAAAGAAAGGTGCACGTTGGAAATTTTCTGTAGGAAGGAAGAGGAAAGTGGGAAGAACAGTGAGATGGAATCTGTGTGGCTTCCCATGAGGAGCTTTATTATCTGCAGTTTGTCCTGTCTGGGAAAGTCTGAGACCTATTTTCCCTCACATATCCCAAACAAATGGTTCAGAATGATTCTTGGTAATGGATAGGATGACACTCATTTGATGAGCTGCCTGTTCTTCCTGTGTGGGCATGCACTTCCTAGTTGATCCACGTTGACCCTTTCTCTGACTAGACAACACCCTTCTTTGCCCTGCTTTGTGTTGTTCTGATACCTGCTGTGGTACTGCCTCACAACTGTGTCTGAGAAGTGTTTAAAGGAGGAGAACCTCGTGCCTGTGCCTTTGTCCTGTTCTGTGCAGATCTTTCTCTATGTAGAGAGAAAAGGTCTCTCTATCTAGATCAGTCTGGCCTTGGCAATCACACAGACTTGCCTGCCTCTGCCTCCAGAGTGCAGATACTTACTTGCCATGTCTACCAGATTTGTCTCTACTCTGAGCTTTCTTACAATAATGATGTATCATGAATTTCATAGATAAGCACTGGATTTAAGCTAAGAATCCCTTTCTCCTCTTAACTCCTACTGTTCCTGTCCCATGCCTTCTATAATTAATGTCCTCTTGCTATTTATATAACCCTTAAACACATATGGGTACATGAGTTCATGAATACAACCAACTGATAACATTTTTGTCTTGTTTGCACCTGTGTAGTGTGACCTCTTGATATTTCTAATGAATATTGCATCTGAATTAGATTGTTTCTCAATATAGCTCTGGGACAAATTTTTTTTGCCAGTTCCTCAGTAACTGTTAATTGCTTATAACTCTTCTAGTGAGGAACCCTTGTGAAAATTGCTCCCACACAATGGCATGCCAGTTGTCATCGTGCAGTGTACAACTTTCTGTCAGAGTGCCCATCCCCAGTTGTCAATATCCAACACCACCAGTGCCCATATGACAATAGGAACGGTGCAGAATTTAACTGGATGGCTGGAAACAGAGTAGGATACTGTTTTGTATATGTGACATGGAACCTTTTTTCAGACTGATCTTAACAGTGTGGTTGTCTGTACATGGCTTGGGAATTATAAAATGTATATATGTACAATGTATACAATGCCTTGTGTTATTTTGATTTAATATCTGTGGTTGTCTGCAACATTCTGTTCCAAACTACCTTAGTGTGCCTCCAGGGACACTCTGCAGTGTGCCTTCTTGTATGTCGATATTTTCTCACTCCTCATACTTTATTTTCTTCTTCCTCAATTTCCTGTGTCTTACATGTAACTCCCTCAACATATCTTCCACTACATTACCTGCCTTCTCAGAATCCATGCCCTCTAAGTCAGTTTCCTTTTTTAATCTAGGGAAGTCCAAGTAACTCCAAAATATGGCAGCCATTCTCTTTGTCTATTTTTAATATTTATTTTAGTGAATGTGGAGACAGGTCAGTGTAGACCAAGTTACACTTGAACTGAACTTCATCCCTTCAAGCTCTACATGCTGTGATTACAAGTGTGTGTCACCATTCCTAGTGTGAACATTACTTTTAGAGCAGCCCTGAACTTGAAACAATAAAAGGGAAATAGTATGCGAGGGAGTCTGTCCCATTCTTGTTAAGGAATGCTAGATTTCTGCACATCTTGTTCATGTTCCTGTGTCTGTTGAATTTAAGATCGTCAAGAAGGGCCTGATTATATTCCCTGTTCACTTGCCTCTTGAGACTTGACAGTACAGAGCCCAGAATTAGTGACACTCTCATCTCCCTGAGGTTGATGGAAAACACTTGAGATTAAACTGTCTGTCCAAGCTCATATACCTAGTCAGAACCAAACCTAAATGTGACATTCAATTCAAGATATCACTATCAGCATAAATGGTATCCCCAAAACAAAGATTTAAAAGAATAGTAAAAATAAGGGGAGATGTGATCAAAAGAAATGTTTAAAGTTTCTTTCCTTACCTGCCATGGTCGGAGGGAGAGTATGAGCAATCCACCCTACAATGTAGGAAGAGATTTGGTTGTCCTTGTCTGATCAGCTGACCTAAATGGCAATTGTGTCTGGTATCAGACAGCACTTACTGGTCACTGGTCACAGGTGACCTGTGATGATCCAAATTTGTTTACAGGCATCTCCATGGAAACCCCAAAACCTACCAGGTGGTGGTAGGGTTGGAGGGACAATGATGTCATAAACGGGGCAGCAGCCAATGGGAAGGTTGGATTCTGAGCTAAAAGATGGTATTGGTTGGATAGGATGCCAGGAGACCAATAGTAGCCATGGAGGCTGAGGTGTGGGCTAGTGAAAGGAGGCAATCCTGGCATGGAAGTCCCCCTTCCCATGAGGTTTACTCCAGAGTATTGGCAGAGCTTCTTATAAGGTTCCATGTTGAAGCTGTGTCTACTGTTTCTTTGAGGTATCAACTTCTAGCAGACAGTGTCCCATCAGCATGCACTGTACATACAGTCAGTAGTCTTGGGCAGGAAGGAGGTGAATACCTAGGTGGAGGGAACTCAGGTGAGAAACCGTTTCAGTTGATCTGATTTATGGGCTGTCAGCATCTGTCCATGAGCCAAGGAAGAGATCAAAGGGCTCCTTTGTGACTTTGTTGAAGGACAGGACTGAGTGCATTGAATGCACCTTGGATGATGAACTCCAAGACTTTTCTCTTTGAGGGTCTTCTAGAGGCCTTCCTTAGTCTGTGTTGCCCCAGGCAGGACTCACATCTCTCTTCTCTGCTTTTCACCCCTTTTTGGTAGGGTTTGATTCTTGGACCAGTGTGAACCTGTATCCTTACAGTGGTGGGCAGTATCATGGTGAACTTCCAGAAGCAGTGGTCTTCTGTTCACCATGAAGATGCTTGTAATTGGATGCTGTTCGTAGAAGCAAACGCTTGAGGGCCTGATGGTGAACCTTGCTGCACATGTTACCTTTTTCGAACTTGTTGCTCTTTTGCTGCCCAGACTCGTATACCTCTGGATGTTTTCTCTCCTTCTTGACTTTTATTTTCCTGAGATAGGCAAGTCTCTGTAGCCCCTGTTATTCTGAAACTCACTGTGTGTCTCACCCTGGATTCAGACATGTGGGCATTCTTTGTATCTTGCCTCCCTTCTTACAGTCTTGAGGTTGTTTGCCATTGAGTCTGGCCGCCTTCTCTCTTCATCCACAAGTATAGTGAGTGTGACAGTTACTGAAGCTTCTTCCTCCTGGCAACAGTCTCTGCAGAATCCTGGGCTTCTAGCATTCTCTGCCATGCTTTTTTCTGAGAAAGGGCTAAAAGGAGACTGGAACACCTGGAGGAGGAGGGCGTTTGTTGGTATGTGGTGGTGGGTTACATGAAAAAAGCAATGTAGGTGTTTTTGTAAGTGTTGCAGCTGGATGGAAAGGGATCTTGGCTGTTGAGAGCCAAGGAACAGCACAAAGTGAACTTAAGCATAGCAGGATACATCCCTGCTCCAGGGAAAGCTTTCCCTAATGTAACAACTCTTCTCTTTAGGGGAATGTTTCCCCCAGGGAAAGTGTTCCGGTTCTGCTCTGCTCTGCTCTGCTCCACGGTGGCTCCACTGTGGCTAATGTTCCCTCTCTGCTCTGCTTACTTCTGACAAAAGATGGTCTCACCCAAACCTCATTCAAGAGATTATTTTCGGGGAAGAATCCAGGAGCGTGACTGCCTCTGCCAGAAAGAAAAAAGGCCGTTACCAACTGAACAGGTACAGGACTTATGTATGGCTTCTTAGTGGGGGAGCTTTTCCAGGGTGAAGCTTAGCAGGGTGAGAATTGCTCAGATTCCAGTCCCTGAGTTTGGACAAACCCAGAGATTGGTTCGACTATGTTGGGTAGGTTTTCCTGCTTAGGAATTTTTTGGTTTTTGTGCTGAGTGGGTCATGGGCAGAGTGTGTTTCTCTGACTCTGGTTTCAGGGCCAAAGTGTGTTTTTTTCACAGGCCCTTTTTACCGTTTTCACTCTGGTTTCAGGGCTAGGGTGTGTTTCTTTGGCTGGCTCATTTGTCCTACAATATTATTTTATATTTGAAAAAAAAAAAAGAACAACCCATTTCCCATCTCAGTGTATCTTCTTAGACAGGAATATGATATTTTGTTAAAATATGGGTAAATCTTGTGTGTTCTCTCATTTTGTTTGTGATTGTTATCATTCTCTCTGGTCACTGACTGGTGGGTTCATAGACTGTCTCATGGCATGGGTGTAGAGTGCATTTATAGACATTTCTTACTCTAACTTCCTCAACAAGCACTACTATGACAGTGTCTGTCAGTCCTCATTGAAAATGACCCTGGAGCCTGTTTAGCTCTCCTCCTGCATTCACATGAGCTGTCAGCACTTTCCCTTGGGACCTCTTTTACACTGAGCTAGTGCCATAGCTTCCAGCTACACGCCCAGGTCAGTAGAACTGTTCCTCTATGCAGATTGTTTCATGTTTTGTGGTTCTTGGCAAAGCTCTACAATAAGACTGTCATTTTTTATAGGCCAGCAGGCTGCCTTTGTGTTTTACCCTTACAGTTTCCTTCATGACTGACCAATTGTCAGATAATGTGACACATTCCAAGTGGCAATGACTGAAAGTTGGAAGGTTCATCCAGGCCTCTGGTCGTAGACCATTCTGAAAAACGTGTGTCCTTGTAGCAGAATAGACCGAAGTTAGTCTGGGCCTGTGTTATTGAGAAGTCTGACTGTGGAGCAAAAATGAGAGATACATAGATATAGATAGATAGATAGATAGATAGATAGATAGATAGATAGACAGAAAGATAAATAGATAGATAGAACTGTGTTCTTTGTTTAATTCTCATCATTTCTGTGCTTTTTATTTTTAAACATTTGCCCATTATATTTTTTTTTCAGTGTACTAATGAACTTATTAATTCTAAAATCCTGTAGTGATTTTAGTTTCTAAACCCTCTACTCCTCCTAATTCTTTTCCACGTCCCAACTACTCAGTTCCTACTATCTTTCTGTTGCTCTCTAGAAAAGAAAGGCTTTGAAGAGGTAACAAATAAATATGGTAAAATAAAATTTTGGGACAGCATCTCCAGGAAAATAAATGTAAGTTAAAACATCTGAAAGATGGTGTCCTGCATGGGTGAAAAAATGGCACTCCCTGAAGACATATGCCTGCTAAATGCTAAGTGCCAGGAGGGGGCTTAAGCCTCAGGAGATGTTGGCCAAGAAGATCCTAGAACTTCCCAGAATATGAAAACTATTTCATTCCTGTTTAAGTTATGAGCCCAAAGTAGAATAGCGCAAAATTGATTGAGTAGCAGGCTATGAAAGAGTCAGACTTGCCGCAAGCTGGAACCCCCTTTCTGATAGCAGGCTGGCTTTCGTAGACCAAGCAGGCTCTTCCATCATTTGGGGGAAGAATTACCTGCATTTGTGCTGTTAGGATGTTGGCTGTCTCTCCCACATACTAAAATGTCAAGACAGATGTATACACTGGGACAGAGAAGGCAGAGTTGCGAGGTATATTCGAAATAACTCTCCAATTTGATATGTGTACACATGCAGAGAAGGGAATTCTTATCTTGTACTGCAACCCACCACCATAAATCTCTGGTGACTGAGGAGTTCCAGGTCTAGAGGGAAGACAAATGCTACTGTTTTGTTGACTGGAATGGTTGGGTCTCTACATATCCTTTCTAAACCTTTGCAATTTTGCAGGAGATTAGTGTAGTTTCAGGTGCAGATGTAACTGTTACAGTCTGCCTCCTTGCTGGCCTTCCATTGGTATTTGATTCTGTTGCTGTTGGAGAGATTTGTCATTGTTTCAGCTGCTGAGTCTCAGTGGCTGCTGTTGTGGTGAGATGGCTGGCTGGTACTCAGAAATGGATCGTGCATAAAGCAGTCCATCCAAAGCTCAGGGCGTGTCCCGCAAGTAGGAGCCCAACTGAAGTGAGAGCTAGAGCAGTGGGGTAGAATAGGGTAGCATGGCTTTCTATTCCAAAATCAAAGGAACATCCCATTGTGATGGATGATCAGTTGGATGGAGACCTTTGAAAGTAATTGAAGAGATGGATGCAGTGATAGACAGGTCTTTGGCTGTGAAGCTTTACTGTACATAGTAAAAGGAGCCATGGAGGGTCATGAAAACTTGACTTGTCATTCTAGACATTACTTGAATTTGAACACCAGGCCCATTAGAAAATGGTCTTTCTTGATGCTAGAGAATAGAAATGGAGAGTTAACTGAAAGTAGGGGGCTTCCCAGTATTTCTTCCACAGGAAACACCAATTAAGTTGGTGGGTATAATGGGAAGTACTCTACGCTCTCTCTATTTCACTATGGAGTGACTTTAAACACCAACACCAGGTCTATCTTGTTTTCCATCTATACTTTTCCAAGGAATTGAACATGTACTGATTGCTTTGCACATCAGTACAGATCGCAGCAATTTTCAGGAATATCTATGTTAGCTGATCTTGCTGTCCAATAACAGAGCAATGGAGAAGGAATATGTGATGTCTACACACAACAGAACCAATTCAGCTAAAGTGATGAATGTAGTCAAGGTGATTGCAGGAGAGTTCTTGTAACTGGTGATAATCCTATTATACCATATGTATCTATTCCCAGACAAATATCTCCCGATGCTGTCTCTATATATGGATGCTAGATTACTCACACCTCCATGTTCCATTCCTGACATTGAAGGCAATGCTGTTGAGCATATGACCAATGCCTAAGATTTTTGGTGAGAGTTAAGGAATGGGTAGGCCTTGGTCACAAAGTTACTGGGCTCAGTATACAATGTATAGTTTGAAAAGAATGTGATCAATGAATAGTACAATGGGAATTAATGACACTGAGGATTCAATACAAGTACAGCATTGTGTGAATTGCTTTAATATGAAAAATGCTTCCTGAGCTTCTTTACTAAGGATTATTTTACAAGACCCTTAGTTTGAATACATAAAGTTTAAAATAATAATATCAAGGTTAGAAGATATCCATCCAAATGTGTTTCTGCTGCTCCTAAGGTGTAAGATGAAGACAGTAGTCTCATGGCAGTGCGCAAATCTGTCATTAAGCCACACACAGGGAGTGATAAACCAGAGGACTCCCTAAGCCATTGCTTTCCATCTTTGTGCTGTACTCAAATTGGTCCCTGTGAGGATCATTGCATTCAGGAAGGTGGATCTTTTCATGCTGGGTTTGTTAACATTTTCTAGGTGAGTTAGACTGGACTTAGCCCTTGTTAGAATGCACAATTTTGGGCATACACAGTAGTTGGGGGTTAGATATTGTGAAAAAAGATGCACCATGAAACTCTATGGTGAGGGTGAAAACGATTCCTGAGATGCTCCACTTCCCAGAAGTAGGAAAGCAATCAGAACTTTACTACAAAAGAAGAAAATACACAGGATTGCATGAGCATACCTCCTATGAGGTTAGTGCTTCACAGGCATTGTAGCAAGTCCAGCCTACAACTGAAACATGGCTGATTGTCAGAAAAACAAATGATTCTGAGTGAAGTTGCAATATAAAACTATGTGCTTTTGTCTCTTTGGATTTTAGGTATGTACCAAAAATGTACCCTGGAGTACACTTGGACTCTTCATCAAGTCATGCGCTGAAACATGGTTATGCACCATACAGAAAGAACCTTGATTCCACCTTCCTTGTTATAGAATTCCTTTCGTGTCAACAATCTTGAGGTAGTGGCTGAGGAGTGTGCAGATGTGGAGGCAGTAGGGGAGGCAGAGGCTGAGATGGATGTGGAGGCAGAGGGGGAGGCAGGCAGATCTTTGTGAGTTCAATGATTGCCTGTTCGATGTAGTCAGTTCTAGGAGATGCTGGGCTATGGAGAGGGTCCCAGTTTAAGAAACTAAAAGTGTCATCATAAACAAATGTGTTCTGCTTGCTATATGTGATCTTGGAAAAAGATAATGGCAAATGCCCCAGAGACCAAAGTGTAACAAACTCTGTTACTATTACAGCACAGAGTAGCACAAAGAGTTGAAGGTTCAGGAGATGCCAGTTTTCTTCTCACCCTTCTTCCACAGTGAGTGACAGACCTTCACAGACTCCTCCAGCGTGTGCACGCTGAGGTGGTTTTGAGGCCTTTTAAAGCCATCCTGGCTGAGCTCAGGTTGATTGAACTTCCTCTTGTTGTTGAGGACAGTGGGCTTGTCTTCTGTCTTGACTCTGTGATTTAATAGCATCAACTCTTTCAGCTTTCTTGGAGTTGATATCTCTAATACTCTTGGTCTTGTCTTTTATGATTCCCAGGTCTGCTGTGCCTGCAGAGTGTGGCTTTCTGAACTTTGCCCTCTATATGCTGGGTGATGTTGTCAATATCAGGCACAGCACTGTTCCAAGGCTCTGTCCCTCGACCAGGTCCTGACACTGGATTCTGGCCAGAGAATTTCCATCAAGCAGATTAGGGCTTTGCTCTTCCTTCTTCCTCAGCTGGTTTAAGGGTGTGCTGTGGACATCTTCTCTTTACTGGGCCTGATCGCTTCTGATGACTATGGAGTCTTTGCATTGGGTGGCTGTGGGAACCTGGAATTGGTTTAGTTCAGAGAGGGAGTTGAGCCGTTGGGAAGGTGAACTTCTGCCACCAGTGTAGTCATGTCTGCAAGTCTATGCTGGAGGCCAACACACTGTGCATGTTCCAGGCTCATCCTGACCAAGACTGCTGCCTCCAATGTGGCATTGTCAGAAGCAAGCTTCTGCCCTAGGCTCCCAGCATCAGTGAAGGGCAAGGGATGCTGCATATCGGGGTGTGCTAAAGGGAGAGAGATGGGTCTTGGTTTTCTTTCATGCACTCATAGGCATCTGGAGACATTGAATGATTTGCTGCCATCTCAGGCAGGTTGTCATTTTCTGTTCCTTCCAGGCATGGAGCTTGTGGCAATGCCAGGAATTCTGAAGGTTGTGATTAGGGGTTGTTAATGTCTTGTCCCCATCAACAGGTGGTGTCCTCATCTGGTAATCCAGGGTGTAGGAGTAGCAGAGTTCTGTTCTGCAGCTGATGGTGTGTCTGGCTTGATGTGTGATTGATTCCCAGGGAAGTCTTCCTTTGCATCACTGAAACAAATCAAGGAAGAAGTCAGTACAAGGTAAGTGGGATATCCCCTCCTTTCAGTGTACCTCTGTACTTAGGTCCCTACAACAGCTGGATGGCATTCTTAGGATCTCTGCCCTGGCTATAGATATTCAGATATCCAGATTTTGGGTAGATAAGAAAAATGCACCTTGGCTTACACATGTCCTCATCCAATCATCCTGGGAAACCTAGATATCCACATAGATAGAAAGAAACTTGATTCCATTTAGTATGTGGGAGCTTTCCTTTAGTCTCAGCACCCTTGAGCCAGGGCCAGCGCCAGGGTCATGGCCAGGGCAATTGCAGAGGCAGAGGCAGAGTCATAGGCAGATGAAGAGATAGTGTCAGAGGTAGAGGCAGGCTGCTGTTTGTGAGTTCAAGGCTAGCCTGATCAACATAGTTAGTTGCTGAACATGCAGGGTCATGGAGAGAGAACCTGTCCCAAGAAACTAAAATCATATTAACAAGTCAATGCGTTATATTTGCCAGAAAAAAAGAAAGAGTTACTTGAGAGGGGGTCCTAGAGAACAGGAGGACATAGTTGCTATAGCTACCCCAATAAGAAGATTAATGTTTAGATTATTTAGCATTAGATAAAATACATAAATCATAAGAAAGAAGACAACCCAGGGAGTAATGTGCAAAGAGAAAGACAGTCCTCCCTGATTTCTTAAAAAGGGGAGTGAGGACATACAAAGGTTCAGATGGAGGAGGAATCAGGGAAATGCATAGTGAACCTCCTAGATGCCATCCAAGGCCAACTAGCAAAGAAATGACAGCCACCACTGAGAGAGTTCACAGAAAGGAATGCGATCCAATGCTGGAGAGGATGGAAAGATTTCCAGCCTGATTGGATGTCAGGGTGGAGAATCCTCCAAAAGCCTAAACCTGGACCACCACATGGTTCATACATGCCTTTCCAAAGAACTCAATATATTAGAGAGGTACTTGCCCATCAGTGTTGACTGCAGCACCGTTTCAAGAACATTAGGGAACCAAGCATGGTGTCCAACAGCATTGCCATGGGTGAAGCAAATGGGATGTTCGTAGAACGTGAAGTCTTTTCAGCCATAGGGAAAATGAAGTCCTGTTGTTTGCAGTATGTGGATTCAACTGAGGCTCATGAGATGGCTCAGTAGATAAGAACACTTGCTTTTCTTGCAGTATCCCCAGGCTTACTCTAGAACACCTCCTGGAGTCTTTCAATCTCTATTGATTCCAGACCTCAGAGATCCGATGGCCTCTTCTGGCCTCTGAGGGCACTCCACACATGGGTTCCACAGGAATTCAGGTGGACGACAAACAAACACACAAACACAAAATAAAGTATTAATGGGTGATTTCAAAGATGGACACAACTTGAGACAAACAGTAATCAAATGGAAACCTCCTCAGGAAATTGGTCAACCTTGTGTATTTTCTCTTTATGGTGGGTGCTTGATGGTGTGCACATGGAATCCTGTATTTCATTTCATGAAATTTCAGGAGGAGCTCTGTCCCAGACTAGTAATAATTAAAGGGCTGGGGTGAGCGTTTCAAAATGGGAGGAAGTGTGGTGAGAACAGGAGTGTGTTAACTATAACAGTATACACTCTAGGAAACATACCAAGTTCAAAGACTTTTATTTTACTTAAAAATAAAAGTCAAGAAGAATAATTTTATTACCACTACAGGTTTGGGCTAATTACTTTTACCTTAAATAACACTGCCAGGGGACTTATATCATATGATGTATTTATGTAACATATATTACTACTTAGACAACATAAATGAATAACAACAAAGGTACCAAGAAACCGTCAAAACCCTCTCTATATACTTACTCATGAATAAAATGTAACTGACTTTAGATTCTCCAGTCACTTTTAGTGTTAGTGTCTTCAGATATTTACAAGTATAGAAACTATGTCTGACCATTTTTATATAAATCCTGGGATGTGCATATTACTCACGTTAACTCAATACATACCTACATACGTACATGTACGTCTAATTTTTATATCCAGTGTATACATGTATATGTGTCTCCATTTCTGACCTTCTCTATGTTGACTAGTACTGGGTTCCAAAGTCCAGGGTGCCCTTACATGACATAGCCATAATATGTAGAAATTTCCATATCCTTCTGCCTCTGAAGGAAGAGCTGCGGTTTTCCCAGAGAGGTGTACTTGGCAGCATTCTCTCTCTCCCTTTGTGCCTGCCTCTTCATGGCCTCCCGCTCTGGTCTCTGCTCTTCTGTGATGGGCTGTGAGATGACTGGCCCTGGAATGTGGACTTTCCTCCATGGAATTGGTTGGTGGCTGAAGTCTTGCAGTAGATATTGGATTTGAGGTTTGGGGTTTGATGGGGCCTTGTTCTTGTCAGCAGATGCAAGCTCCCTCTGTAGTGAGGGGTGAGATGATGCCCTGTAGGATTCTGGCCTACAGACAGCTGGCTTTGGCCCAGGACAAGACTGGATGGGGTTGGTTATGTTAGGTCGTGTGGCACTGGTAGCAATAGGCAGAACTGGCTTGTCAGAGGCCATCAAAGAAGTGCTGGCAGGAGCTGGTTTAGATGGCTTGAGTGTGGTAGGCTGAGCCGAGTGGGAATGAGGCCTCACAGGGCATACTGCAGGGGCCCTGCGAGAAGCCAGGGGGAGAGGCTTTCTAGAAACAGGTCTTGCTTGTTGCATGTCCACGGCTGGGAAAGGCAGAGGTACTAACTTGACCTTCCCAGGTGGGGGCAGCTCATACTGGGATGGAGATGGACACTCCCTGTGGAGATTGCTCTCTGGTCTCTGAGCATTGCTCGGGGTTTTACCAGGGCCTCGGCCAACACTTGGCACATCCAGAAGGGATGTGGTGACTGGGCCTGTCCTGGGATCTTTGCTGTTGCTGAGGTTTAGCCGAGCCCGGGAGGAGGAGATGCCAGTTTTCTTCTCACTCTTCTTCCCCAGTGGGTGAAAGACTTGCACGGATTCTAGCATGTGCATGCCGAGGTGAGTTCGAGGCTTTTTAAAGCTGTCATGCCTGAGTTCCAGAAGTTGCCTCTTCCTCTGGTTCTTTGGCTTGGTGGTGTTTTCTTCCTCCTTGACACTGTTCCTTGACTTCTTGAGCTCCTCTGTTTTCTTGGAGTTGTTTACTCTGGTTCTCTTGGTCTTGTCTTGCCCCTGAGCCCTAGCTCTGCTGGGCATGCTAGGTGTGGCAATCTGGGCCTTGCCCTCCAAGTGTTTAGGCATGTTGTCAATAGCCCCTTCACTGGTCCCAGCACTGCCCACCGCCTCTTCGCCCTTCACCCAGTCCTGGAGCTGGATTCTGGCCTGAGGAGACACATCAAGCATCTCAGAGGATTTCTGGACATTCTTTCTCACTTGGTCCACAGGTACACTGATGATGCTGGAGCTTTCCTGGGCCTGATCCCTCCTGGTGTCTTTGGATTGGGTTGCTGTGGGATCTTGGAATGGGTTCATTTCAGTGATTGAGTGGAAGAGTCGGGGAAGGTGAATATCTGCCACCAGTGTAGTCATGTCTGCAAAGTCCATGCTGGAGTCCATCACACTCTGCAGCACCCCAGGCTCATCCTGACCAAGGCTGCTGCTTCCCAAGGTGGCATTGTCAGGAGAAAGCTTCTGTTTTAGGCTCCCAGAATCAGTGTAGTCCAGGGCCTGCCGCATGTTGGCATGTGCTAAAGGGAGAAGTGGTGAGTCTTGGTTTTCTTTTATGCCCTCATAGGCATCCAGAGGAGTTGATAGATCAGCTGTCATCAAATCCAAGTCGTTATTCTCTGTTTGTTCCAAGCTCGGAGCAAGAGGCAAGGGCAGGTATTCCAAAAAACTGTGCATGGGAGCAGTTAATGACCAGTCCCCATGGACAGGTGGTGTCTTCTGGACATCCTGGGTGCAGGCACTGCAGAGGTCTGGATTCTGCAGCAGACAGAGTGTCTGGCCTGAAGCTGTCAATCCCAGGGATGTCTCCGTTTTCACCACTGAAAAAGAGTCAAGGAAGAAGTCAGTGCCTGGTAAGTGAGGCGCTCCCCACTTTTCAGTGCACCTCAGTACTCAGACCCCTACAGCAGTGGGGAAGGCATTCTTATGAGCTCTGCTTGAGCAGCACAGGCGGCACGGCACCTCTGTTGGGAGACTTGTGACCACTGTCTTATTTCTGGTAACCATGTGATACCATGTTTTCTCAGATGTTTGTGTTTTCCTCGGTGTTTGTGTGTTGTGTGCATGCATAGTGATCATGGGGAGGTGACAGAATTCCCTTGGGGTGTGGTCCTCCCTTTCCTTTCCCATGTCTCTGTAAGAGTGACCCTCATTTCTGTGGAAGTTTGCTATCAGGCACGTTGTCTGGTCCACAATTTTCAAGAACATACCCTGTCTTCCAACTCTTGGCATTACTCAAATGCCCCCAGTTGCCTGACTTTCTAAATGGGTTCAGGTAACCAAACTCAGTTCCTCACTCCTGCAAGGCAATCATTTCTACAACCCTGGATTTCCTCCAGCTCCACATTTCACCGTCTTGTTATTAATGATGTGAAAATTGGTTTAAGAAGGTGAAATCTTTAGCTTGTGTTATGTTTGTAGTTTAGAACATATCCTAGTGACCATGCATAGCCTTGGATCAACTCTGAATAGCCATAACAAAAGAAAAGGGGCGGGAGAGGGAGAGGGAGAGAGAGACAGAGAGACAGAGAGAGTGAGAGTGAGAGAGAGAAGGAGGGGCATGGTGAGTGGTAGAGGGAGAAGAGAGAGAAAATCTTTGCCTAACTTAGCAATTGTACACTGCAGACAGAGAGAAACAGAGAGAGTAAAGAGAGAGAGGAGAGAGAGAGAGAGAGAGAGAGAGAGAGAGAGAGAGAGAGAGAGAGAGAGAGAGAGAGAGAAGCTTTGCCCAACTTAGCAGTTGTACACTGGTACACCGGGTATACTGGACTCTCAATGCACTTATGCTTGTAAGAGAACGGCAGGGCCAGCACTTGGAATCTGCGAGTAATACTTCCTCTAGGACAGATTTGGAGTTGCACTGCTCTAGAGTCAGAATTGAACCCAGAGAAAATAAAGTATTCCCAAACAGAAAGGCCTTGGTGTCCTCTACAGCCCCGAGGAATTGATTAGGAAGGAGGTGATTGCTGTGTAATGGTGCATGGGACTGATAAGCTAGGTCAGTGATGTGTGTGTCTGTGGTGGTGTCCTTGGGCATGTCTTAATGGAGGATGGGTGCCACTCATTGCCCTGTATTGTCAGTCATTATAGAGACTGAAGATGGGGATGGTGAGCCAGGCTCTCAGGACTCCCATCCTTTCTCCCTGAGGGCATCCACTGCTGAAAGGTTGAACTGTGTCTGCTTTGAGTGCTGATCTCACTCCTCCCCTCCTGGCTTTACTCACCTTGAAGACTGGTGTCTGGCATGTCTTGGGCAGGTGTGGGATAGTAGATGGCAGAGGTGGTGAAGGGTATTTGGACATTCATTGGCTGAATCTCCTTTGGCATCACCACCATCCCTCGTTGCAGGGCAGAGGCCTGACCCCCAGAGTAGGACACAGAGCCACAGGCCTGCAGGCACTGCCTGAGTTCTTCAGGCATCAGAGGACCCAGGCTGTTGCCGTCATTGTAATAGACCTGGCTGCCCTCCTGGTAGGAAGGTGCCAGGCTGTATCCTTGATTTGGCACCTGTGGTGGTGTGGCCTGAACAAGGCTGGCAGGTAGTACTGGATACGAGAGGACTAAGGAATTGGGATCTAAAATATTATCACCCTGGGCTGTCATAGACAAGGAGGAGAATGTGGTATTCTGGTCAATGACAGTTACAGTGAAGTCCTGGAGTGTAGCTCCCCTCCTGTCAGTGCTTCCCGTGGGATCCCACTGGAGAACACCTGGATAGGAGAGTGCTGAGGCAGAGCTCTGGCCATGGCCAGTCAGTGCAGTCGCCATAGTTGTGCCAGCTGGTAAGTAGGGGTAGGCACTGTCCATGAGCTGCTGGCAACAAGTGCTGGAGTCTGATGGCAGGAGCCATGCTGAACTCACAGCTGGGATGGAGACCATGGAGAAGTTGCACACACTTCCTGCTAAGGGTGGAGCATTCCTCAGCACAGGTGCAGAAGGCTGCAAGGCACATTCCGTCCCAAAGAAAGGTGCACGTTGGAAATTTTCTGTAGGAAGGAAGAGGAAAGTGGGAAGAACAGTGAGATGGAATCGGTGTGGCTTCCCATGAGGAGCTTAGTTATCTGCAGTTTGTCCTGTCTGGGAGAGTCTGAGACCTATTTTCCCTCACATATCCCAAACAAATGTTTCAGAATGATTCCTGGTAATGGATAGGATGACACTCATTTGATGAGCTTCCTGTTCTTCCTGTGTGGGCATGCACTTCCTAGTTGATCCACATTGACCCTTGCTCTGACTAGACAACACCCTTCTTTGCCCTGCTTTGTCTTGTTCTCACACCTGTGTCTCAGAACAGAAGTGTTTGAAGTAGGAGAACCTTAGACAGCTTCTCATGCCTGTGCCTTTGTCCTGTTCTGTGCACATCTTCCTCTATGCAGAGAGAGAGAGAGAGAGAGAGAGAGAGAGAGAGAGAGAGAGAGAGAGAGAGAGAGAGAGAGAGAGAGGAGAGCGTCTCTGTACCTAGATCAGTCTGGCCTTGAAATCACACAGACTGGATTACCTCTGCATCAAAGTGCTGGCATTATAGGTTCTTTCCATGTCCACCAGGCTTGGCTCTACTCTGAGCTTTCTTAATGAAATGATGTATCAGGATTTTCATAGATAAGAACTGTATTTAACGAAGAATCCCTTCATCATCTAGCTCCCCACTACTTTTTATGTAAGCCATTCCTTCTTATTTTTGTATAAATTCAGTACACATCCTATATGACTGCATGAATACAACCTGCTGATAACATTTCTTGTTGAGTCCCTATGTTTCTAGTGACATTTTGGGATTTCTAATGTAGTAAAGGGTTCATCTCTGAATAAGATTGTTTCTTCATTAAATTTGGTTCAATGGATTCTTCAATGAACACTTCTTAATTAAAAGTTGGTTCAATTGATTCTTCAATGAACACTTCCACAGTAATTGTTAATTTCTTGTAACTCTCCTAGTAGGGAATTCTTGTGAAAATTCCTGCACACCCTGGTGTGTCAGTTCTTGTCCAGGGAACAACTGACTGTGGAGTACCCCGCCCATGTTGTTAACATCCAAAACAACCAAAAGATGTGGGGAATGCTGTGGAAGATGGGCTGGATAGAGTATAAGAGCCAGGGACTAGAGCTGGATATTGTTTTCTACATGTGATAGGAATCCATTACCTAGACTAATCTCAACAGTGTGGCTGCATAACAATGGGTTGATATGTGACAATGTCTAGTTTCTTTTTATTTCATCTGTGGTTGTCTGTAACATTCAGTTCCTAACTGCTTTGGGTACCTCCTGGGTCATATCTGCAATTTGTCCTTTTTTAATATCCATATTTTCTAACCCCAGTAAGAACCAAATCTAAATGTGACATTCAATACCAGATATCTCTATCAGCATCAATAATATACCCATTACACAAAAATTTAAAAGTTAAGTAAAAATAAGGGAGAAGTGATCTCTTATTTTTTTAATATTTTAAAATTTCTTTCCTTACCTGCCATGGTCAGAGGGAGAGTATCAGCAGTCCAGAGTACAATGGAGCAAGAGAATTGGTTGTCCTTGTCTGATCAGCTGACCTGAGTCGCAAGTGTGTCCGGTATCAGACAGCACTTACTGGTCACTGGTCACAGGGGACCTGTGATGATCCAAATTTGTTTACAGGCATCGCCATGGCAACCCCAAGAACCTACCAGGGTTGGTAGGTTGGGTTGGAGGGAGAATGATGTCATAAACGGGGCAGCAGCCAATGCGAAGGTCGGATTCTGAGCTAACAGATGGGATTGGTCGGAGAGGATGCCAGGAGACCAACAGTAGCCATGGAGGCTGAGGTGTGTGCTAGTGAAAGTAGGCAATCCTGACATGGAAGTCCCCCTTTCATGAGGTTTAGTCCAGGGTATTGGCAGAGCTTCTTAGAACGATCATCGATGAAGCTGTGTCTATTCTTCCTATGAGGTGTCACTTTCCAGGAGTGAGTGTGCTTTCAGCATACACTGGACATACAGTCAGTAGCCTTGGGCAGGAAGGAGAGGACCACATGGGAGGAGGGAACTCGGGTGAGAAACTGTATCATTTGATCTGGTTTATGAGCCATCATCATCAGTCCATGACCCAAGGAAGAGATCAAAGGGCTCCATTGTGAGTGTGTTGAAGGACAGGGCTGAGTGTAATGAGATCACCTTGGATGATGAACTCCAAGAATCTTCTCTTTGGGTTTCATCTCCTAGATGCCTTCCTTAATCTGTGTTGGTCCAGGCAGGACTCATATCTCCCTTCTCTGCTTTTCATCCCTTTTTGGTAGGGTTTGATTCTTGGACTAGGGTGATCCTGTATCCTTAGAGTGGTGGGAAATATCATGGTGAACTTCCAGAAGCAGTGGTCTTCTGTTCATCGTGAAGATGCTTGTAATTTGGGGCTGGGGGTAGTAGCAAGCACTTGAGGGGTAACCCCTGTTGATTGGGAGCTCATCCTGTTTCTCACTCTGGTCTCAGAAATGTGGTCTTTCTTTGTGTCTTTCTCCGTTCTTACAGTCTTGAGGTTGTTTGCCATTGAGTCTGGCCGTCTTCTCTCTTCATCCACAAGTATAGTGAGTGTGACAGTTACTGAAGCTTCTTCCTCCTGGCAACAGTCTCTGCAGAATCCTGGGCTTCTAGCATTCTCTGCCATGCTTTTTTCTGAGAAAGGGCTAAAAGGAGACTGGAACACCTGGAGGAGGAGGGCGTTTGTTGGTATGTGGTGGTGGGTTACATGAAAAAAGCAATGTAGGTGTTTTTGTAAGTGTTGCAGCTGGATGGAAAGGGATCTTGGCTGTTGAGAGCCAAGGAACAGCACAAAGTGAACTTAAGCATAGCAGGATACATCCCTGCTCCAGGGAAAGCTTTCCCTAATGTAACAACTCTTCTCTTTAGGGGAATGTTTCCCCCAGGGAAAGTGTTAAAGTTCTGCTCTGCTCTGCTCTGCTTCACGGTGGCTCCACTGTGGCTAATGTTCCCTCTCTGCTCTGCTTACTTCTGACAAAAGATGGTCTCACCCAAACCTCATTCAAGAGATTATTTTCGGGGAAGAATCCAGGAGCGTGACTGCCTCTGCCAGAAAGAAAAAAGGCCGTTACCAACTGAACAGGTACAGGACTTATGTATGGCTTCTTAGTGGGGGAGCTTTTCCAGGGTGAAGCTTAGCAGGGTGAGAATTGCTCAGATTCCAGTCCCTGAGTTTGGACAAACCCAGAGATTGGTTCGACTATGTTGGGTAGGTTTTCCTGCTTAGGAATTTTTTGGGTTTTGTGCTGAGTGGGTCATGGGCAGAGTGTGTTTCTCTGACTCTGGTTTCAGGGCCAAAGTGTGTTTTTTTCACAGGCCCTTTTCACCGTTTTCACTCTGGTTTCAGGGCTAGGGTGTGTTTCTTTGGCTGGCTCATTTGTCCTACAATATTATTTTATATTTGAAAAAAAAAAGAACAACCCATTTCCCATCTCAGTGTATCTTCTTAGACAGGAATATGATATTTTGTTAAAATATGGGTAAATCTTGTGTGTTCTCTCATTTTGTTTGTGATTGTTATCATTCTCTTTGGTCACTGACTGGTGGGTTCATAGACTGTCTCATGGCATGGGTGTAGAGTGCATTTATAGACATTTCTTACTCTAACTTCCTCAACAAGCACTACTATGACAGTGTCTGTCAGTCCTCATTGAAAATGACCCTGGAGCCTGTTTAGCTCTCCTCCTGCATTCACATGAGCTGTCAGCACTTTCCCTTGGGACCTCTTTTACACTGAGCTAGTGCCATAGCTTCCAGCTACACGCCCAGGTCAGTAGAACTGTTCCTCTATGCAGATTGTTTCATGTTTTGTGGTTCTTGGCAAAGCTCTACAATAAGACTGTCATTTTTTATAGGCCAGCAGGCTGCCTTTGTGTTTTACCCTTACAGTTTCCTTCATGACTGACCAATTGTCAGATAATGTGACACATTCCAAGTGGCAATGACTGAAAGTTGGAAGGTTCATCCAGGCCTCTGGTCGTAGACCATTCTGAAAAACGTGTGTCCTTGTAGCAGAATAGACCGAAGTTAGTCTGGGCCTGTGTTATTGAGAAGTCTGACTGTGGAGCAAAAATGAGAGATACATAGATATGATAGATAGATAGATAGATAGATAGATAGATAGACAGAAAGATAAATAGATAGATAGAACTGTGTTCTTTGTTTAATTCTCATCATTTCTGTGCTTTTTATTTTTAAACATTTGCCCATTATATTTTTTTTTCAGTGTACTAATGAACTTATTAATTCTAAAATCCTGTAGTGATTTTAGTTTCTAAACCCTCTACTCCTCCTAATTCTTTTCCACGTCCCAACTACTCAGTTCCTACTATCTTTCTGTTGCTCTCTAGAAAAGAAAGGCTTTGAAGAGGTAACAAATAAATATGGTAAAATAAAATTTTGGGACAGCATCTCCAGGAAAATAAATGTAAGTTAAAACATCTGAAAGATGGTGTCCTGCATGGGTGAAAAAATGGCACTCCCTGAAGACATATGCCTGCTAAATGCTAAGTGCCAGGAGGGGGCTTAAGCCTCAGGAGATGTTGGCCAAGAAGATCCTAGAACTTCCCAGAATATGAAAACTATTTCATTCCTGTTTAAGTTATGAGCCCAAAGTAGAATAGCGCAAAATTGATTGAGTAGCAGGCTATGAAAGAGTCAGACTTGCCGCAAGCTGGAACCCCCTTTCTGATAGCAGGCTGGCTTTCGTAGACCAAGCAGGCTCTTCCATCATTTGGGGGAAGAATTACCTGCATTTGTGCTGTTAGGATGTTGGCTGTCTCTCCCACATACTAAAATGTCAAGACAGATGTATACACTGGGACAGAGAAGGCAGAGTTGCGAGGTATATTCGAAATAACTCTCCAATTTGATATGTGTACACATGCAGAGAAGGGAATTCTTATCTTGTACTGCAACCCACCACCATAAATCTCTGGTGACTGAGGAGTTCCAGGTCTAGAGGGAAGACAAATGCTACTGTTTTGTTGACTGGAATGGTTGGGTCTCTACATATCCTTTCTAAACCTTTGCAATTTTGCAGGAGATTAGTGTAGTTTCAGGTGCAGATGTAACTGTTACAGTCTGCCTCCTTGCTGGCCTTCCATTGGTATTTGATTCTGTTGCTGTTGGAGAGATTTGTCATTGTTTCAGCTGCTGAGTCTCAGTGGCTGCTGTTGTGGTGAGATGGCTGGCTGGTACTCAGAAATGGATCGTGCATAAAGCAGTCCATCCAAAGCTCAGGGCGTGTCCCGCAAGTAGGAGCCCAACTGAAGTGAGAGCTAGAGCAGTGGGGTAGAATAGGGTAGCATGGCTTTCTATTCCAAAATCAAAGGAACATCCCATTGTGATGGATGATCAGTTGGATGGAGACCTTTGAAAGTAATTGAAGAGATGGATGCAGTGATAGACAGGTCTTTGGCTGTGAAGCTTTACTGTACATAGTAAAAGGAGCCATGGAGGGTCATGAAAACTTGACTTGTCATTCTAGACATTACTTGAATTTGAACACCAGGCCCATTAGAAAATGGTCTTTCTTGATGCTAGAGAATAGAAATGGAGAGTTAACTGAAAGTAGGGGGCTTCCCAGTATTTCTTCCACAGGAAACACCAATTAAGTTGGTGGGTATAATGGGAAGTACTCTACGCTCTCTCTATTTCACTATGGAGTGACTTTAAACACCAACACCAGGTCTATCTTGTTTTCCATCTATACTTTTCCAAGGAATTGAACATGTACTGATTGCTTTGCACATCAGTACAGATCGCAGCAATTTTCAGGAATATCTATGTTAGCTGATCTTGCTGTCCAATAACAGAGCAATGGAGAAGGAATATGTGATGTCTACACACAACAGAACCAATTCAGCTAAAGTGATGAATGTAGTCAAGGTGATTGCAGGAGAGTTCTTGTAACTCGTGATAATCCTATTATACCATATGTATCTATTCCCAGACAAATATCTCCCGATGCTGTCTCTATATATGGATGCTAGATTACTCACACCTCCATGTTCCATTCCTGACATTGAAGGCAATGCTGTTGAGCATATGACCAATGCCTAAGATTTTTGGTGAGAGTTAAGGAATGGGTAGGCCTTGGTCACAAAGTTACTGGGCTCAGTATACAATGTATAGTTTGAAAAGAATGTGATCAATGAATAGTACAATGGGAATTAATGACACTGAGGATTCAATACAAGTACAGCATTGTGTGAATTGCTTTAATATGAAAAATGCTTCCTGAGCTTCTTTACTAAGGATTATTTTACAAGACCCTTAGTTTGAATACATAAAGTTTAAAATAATAATATCAAGGTTAGAAGATATCCATCCAAATGTGTTTCTGCTGCTCCTAAGGTGTAAGATGAAGACAGTAGTCTCATGGCAGTGCGCAAATCTGTCATTAAGCCACACACAGGGAGTGATAAACCAGAGGACTCCCTAAGCCATTGCTTTCCATCTTT